GCCTGTGCTCCGCAACGGGAGAGGCCACAACAGTGAGAGGCCCGCGTACCGCAAATAAAAAAAAAAAAAAAGTTGCTGTGAACAGCCACTAACATAACCCCCAAATTGATTATTTAATATCATCAAAATTCTAGTCAGTGTTCTTACTTTCCTAATTGTCTCATAAACATTTCTTTTCCACAATGGTTTGTTCAAATCAGGATTTAAACAAGAACCAAGCATTTCATTTGGTTAATGTCTCTTTTCTTGCTTTGCTTTTTTTTTTTTTTTTTATGGTACGCGGGCCTCTCACTGTTGTGGCCATGGCAGACATTGGAGTGATATGGCCTCAAGCCACGGAAGCTGAAAGAGGCAAAGAACGGATTCTCCCCTAAGACCTTCTGCAGGGAGTGCAGCCCTGCCAACATCTTGATTTGGACTTGTGGCAGCCAGGATGTGAGAGAATAAATTTCTGTTGTTTTAAGCCACTAAATTTGTGGTAATTTGTTACGGCAACCACAGGAAACTCATACAGATGGGCTGGAACTAGAAAGTAACATTGTGAAATTTTACCTTACACTGCACTAGGAGTGCTTCCTTCTCTCTGCTATCTCAGTTTTCATCCATCCAACGTTTGCCTTTAGCAGAAACTGGTAAAAAAGATGCCCGAGTACTCTTTGATGAAGCAACCACTTGATTAAGGAATCCTCCTGAATTCCCATTTGAAGCTATAATAGGATTCAGAGCACTGTCTTCGGCTGTAGTCTCCGGTATGCCACATCAAGAACCTAAAAGCACTTAAGCTAGAGAGTTGCTGACCCTAATTTCGCTTTTCTTTAAAGACCCCTGTCAAATAACGTAACGGAAAGTCAGATTCATAACAACTATTAAATTATTTTCGGGTGCAAAACAGCAGAAAGCCATCGGGAGGAAAAACGTCTTGTCTTACGAATAGTGACTGAAGTACACTAACAATAGTAGTAGTACTACATATAAATGTTTTAAAAAAATATATAGTAGTAGTACAGAGCGGTAGTTTCTATTCTAGATTTGTAAACCCCCGAAAGCCTTGTTTTGCTGTGGCCTGTCCCATCTCCACCTTGCTCTTTGAAGGGCTGCTAGTTTCCCAGGATGGAAACTCCTCCCAGGGTCCCGGCCTCCATCTGGGGGGGCCCTCGAGTCTAACTTCTTCCCAGTCCCCTACCCCGCGGTCCACGCCCCCACCGCGCTCTAGAGGGAGCCCGCGGGCCGCGCGCCCGCCGCCGACTGGTTTTGTGCGAGGTCGCCTAGTTCGCAGACCTTGTTACAACACCTGCACTGCCGGGGCCGACAGCCAATGAGGGCGCCTCCGCAAACGTCGTCCCTTGTGTCCTCACAGTAATACGTGAGCCCCCTGACCCCTGCTAACACAGAGCCAGATACACATCGCCACCCTCACGCGTGCGCCTGGCGTGAGCCGGCCGGGCCCCTCCCCGCCCCGGGAAGCTTGATGGCTGGGTTTCCACAGCTCCCTGGCCAGACTCCGTCCCGCCCGCTAGCTCCGGCCCTGGCCGCCCTCCGTCCCCGCCCTGTCGGGCTCCAGGCAAAATCCGGGGAGGCGGCCGCTCGGAGGCTCCCGGGAGGCGGCGCGGCGCGGCGGGCTGAGCATGCGCAGTGAGCAAGGCCGGCTCCGGCGCAAGAAGGAAGCGTTCGCTGTGGTCCCGGCGGCTGCGCTGGGGTATGCGGTACCGGCTAACGTGGCTGCTGCACCCCGCGCTGTCCAGTACCTTCCGCTCGGTCCTCGGCGCCCGCCTGCCCCCTCCGGAGCGCCTCTGTGGGTAAGCCGAGCGGAGCGCCTGGGCCCTCGGGGCCCTTGGGTCACGGTGGTTTGGAGCTCGGGTTGCAAAGTGGTGATTCAGCACTTAAAGCCGTCTCCCCTCACGCCGCCTGTCCCGCCGGCCTGGGGCCCGGACTGCCGCACGGAGGCCGCACGGGGCCCGGAAGGGCTGCTCGCGGGGCGGGAGCTTGGGCCCTTGCCCGGAGAGGAGGGTGTCCCTCGGCCGGTGAGGGCGGACGGAGGCTGTGACCCGGGGTCAGCGGGCGTGTGTCACAAGTGCGGGGGGCGCGGGGCGCGGGCGCGGACAGTCACCCCGGCCCGCTGCCGGGAGCCGCGCAGGGCCGCGCCACTCTGGGGAGAGTCTTCCTGTGAGTGACTGGGAAGCCGAGGCGGACTGTCCTTTGCTATGGGGTAAAGGATCCGAGTCCAGGGAGACCGCTTCTCACCTTCCTGTCAGCTCCGCTTTTTCTTCTGCGGACTGAGTTTCCACTCCTCTATGGAAATGCCAGCCTTGGGAAGTGTAAAAGTTTGCCTGCCTCCGCCTTAGCGAGTAGCCGAATATTGGCTTTACTGTGGGAGGGAATTTGGGAGCCGAAAGGTACCCTGGGATCCTTCACCGCAACTCCCTTGTTTTACACCTGAGACAACCGAGGCCCAGGAGAGATTGTGGCAGAAACCAGGATTGGGACGCAGGTTTTTGCCATCCGGTGGCGTGCTCTCTCCACTTGGCTGCTCTGTGTGTACTAGAAATTTTCAGCGTTGTAGCGAACGCTGAATACCCTTTACTGTGAATAAAGAGGAATTGGCAAAGATGGGCAGTATTGTCTTGCCCTGCTTAGGTACATTATTTGAACTCTTCGTCTGGCTTAACAAATATCTGGGACCTAATAAGTGCAGGGTACAGTGATGACCCTCTGTGTAATATGGTTTGCCTTCATAATTGCTGGAGCGGATTGAGATGCCACGAAAGCATAGCCAACTGAGAGGGTCAGAAGCTGCGCGGGATGTGTTTTAGGAGCATGGTGCGGGACAAAGATAGAGGAGGGGGTCTGGGCTGACCTTTGAAGGAAAGGCAGAAGGTGGGTGTAATCCTACCTAGGTGTGCAGGTTAGCCTGTCTGTGTTGGGAGGACGGTGAGCAGATTAGTCGGAGCCTTAGAGAATTTCCTTGGGGGAATTAGGAAGAAACAAGTCCTGTGTTATAAAAGTAGGATAATGCTAGCTTGACCTTTGGATTTTAGTTGGGCTTTTTCTGGTTAACAATTGGTAGGGAGCCATTAGGAGTTTTTGAGGTGGGAAGTGATCTAATGAAACTGGTTGTTTAGGAAATTAGTTTGGTAGCTGTGTGCAGGATTGTAAGAGAGTGGAGAGGCCTGAGGCAGAGAAACTGGTTGGGCCTTAGTCTTTACTGCCTGAACTAGGATAGTAGTAATGGTACTAAAGGAGGCCTAATGCAAATGAAGAATCTGTGGAACTTCTTTTCCCTCTTCTGTTTCCTACTACACCCCAGAATCCACTACAACATGCAAAACGATCCCTGAGTTTAGAAAGGGAAGTGGAGGTGCTGAGCATAGGCGGGGTACCTCCCTGGGCCTCCTTCATGTCAGAACACTTTTTAAAATTGTTGCTAATAGGCTGTGTTTCACTCCACCTTATCTCCAGTGTACAGAATTTGTGATTTTAAAGAAAGCATCAATTTTAAGTTTTATACAACTAAAAGGTTTATATGTTCAACTTACAATTCATTTTTCTCTATGGTTTTCTGCCACTGTTTTTCACTTTCATTGATGAAGTCCAGGGCATGGGTTGAACAACCAGAGCTTCAAAATATGGTGGTTCTCAGAGAGGGAAATTCGAGACTCAAAGCGTAATAAATGAGATCAACCATTTAGAAAGCTCTACACTAAAAATTAGTGGCTGAGGCTAGTAAGGAAAATGCAGGTCCAATCAAAGGGATCAGGGTGTAGTTTTAGGAAGGAACATACTAACACCGGAAGTTACCATATATTCCGATCTTAAGGAAGGTACTCAATCCTACTCTACATAGTAGGAAGAATGCGTTAACTGAGATGGTTACCTAGCTATTTATTGGAAGAGCTGGGATTTAACCTGTGTCTGTCTGGTGCCAGAGCCTGAGCTCTTAACTGTTATTTTATACTGCCTTTGCCAGTGTTTGGGCATTCGTTTCCTGTTCTAACCTCTTGAGAAAGGAGTGGTCTTACAGCATTTGTATAAGATCAGTTCATTTAAAAAGCAGCCTCATTGTTCTCTGTTCAGCCATATTGGATAAACGGGAGCTCTGCAGAATCATCTGAACCTAGGGGAACCTGGAGGTAATAGCCCAGTTCCTGGCAACCACTTGAAACACCTGAGCATCAGTCATCTCACTTTGCAGGTAGCTCTACTTTGCATTTCTCTGTTCTACAGGCTTAAGAAACAGTGGTTTGCTAGGTGGGGCTACCTATTAAGATTCAGGCTTTTAAACCACTCTTAACCAGAACAATGTCTTTTAACAATTTAAAAGGACCGGATGCCCTTGAATATCTTTAGCATTAGCCACACACATAAAAAGTTACATTCTGCTTATCTGCCTTAAAGGTTAGAGTTGGGCACGGTCTCATTGGGGAGTAATGTGGGGAGCAGAAGTTCAGTATATGTTTCCTTGAGAATGGGTTTCCTTTCCGTTTTCCTGTTGGTATTTTAGATCTCCTAAACAGGTACCAGAGGCTCAGCCTACCTTTCAGCCAGGGTGAGAAGGCTAAACTCTCTTTCCATAGGGTTAGATCCTCTAAGGTATGTTGGGTTCTGAAGGCTCGGGTAGGGTCTTCCTAACTGGCTTGTCTTCAGTCTGCCCTCACTCTTCTGTCTGTTCATTCAGCCTTACTTGAATGTCTGTTCTGTAGTGATCACTCACTGTGCTCATTGCTGTGGGGGATGCAAAGACAGTCAGTTATAAATTCTGTCCTCAAGGAGCGTTCAGTCATGTAGTGACTCGTCCATTCCTTCACCTCTGACCTTTCACTGAACATCTCCATTTTTGTGTTCTGTTCCTTCTTTCAATTTATTTTGAAAAGCAGCTCAGTATTTTCACAGTACTCTTTTTCTAAAAATTAGTAGCTCATGTTTTCCTCTTTTCTTTTTTTTTAAAAAAATATTTATTTATTTATTTATTTGGCTGCGTCAGGTCTTCATTGAGGCCTGCAGGACCTTTAGTTGCGGCACACGTGTGGGATCTAGTTCCCTGACCAGGAATGGAACCCAGGACCCCTGCATTGGGACTGTGGAGTCTTAGCCACTGGACCACCAGGGAAGTCCCCACAGTACTCTTCTTTTAAAATGGTACTGGGCCTCCCTGGTGGCACAGTGGTTAAGAATCTGCCTGCTAATGCAGTGGACATGGGTTCGAGCCCTGGTCTGGGAAGATCCCACATGCCATGGAGCAACTAAGCCCGTGCACCACAACTACTGAGCCTGCACTCTAGAGCCCATGAGCCACAACTACTGAGCCCGCGTGCCACAACTAATGAAGCCCGCGTGCCTAGAGCCCGTGCTCCGTGACAAGAGAAGCCACCACAATGAGAAGCCCGCACACCACAATGAAGAGTAGCCCCCACTCACTGCAATTAGAGAAAGCCCAGCACAGCAATGAAGACCCAACGCAGCCATAAGTAAATAAATACATAAATTTAAAAATAAATAAATAAAATAAAATGGTACTTATAAAATTCTTATAGAGTTAAAAGATATAAAAGCTTTTATTCTTCCCAAAGAACTGTATACTTTCTCTTTGCCCATTAAAAGTATGTAACTAAAAAAAAAAAGAAAGAAAGAAAAAAGTAGGACTCACAGGCCGTTCCCTGAGGGGAAGATATCACACTGCTTGACATATTTATCCCATGAATGAATTAATGGTCTTCCTTCAACACTGGTTTTCTCTGTTTAATTTCCTAGTTTTGCATATGTTGGTGTTATCATTTTCTCAGTGTAGCTTGAAAATTGGAGTAATCTATGAATCTCTCTTTTCCCTTCACTGCCTGTTCCCAAGACCAAACTCTCTTCAATCTTTCATCTTAAAGTTTCTTGGAGTAAACTTGATTATCCATCAGGATTCTAGTTCAGGCCATAATAAATCTTCCCTGACATCTCACATCTTCTAGTTTCATAACTGATTTTTCCAGCCTCCTATTTTCCTGTTAGTTGATGCTTATCACTGCTGTTGTCTTGTTTAGACACCATCAGTGGTTATGCACTATTTCAAGATCAAGTCCAAACTTCTTGACCCAGCATTTAAGCATCTCATAAGCTGGTCTTAGCCCAACTTTTCAACCTAACTTCATTCTTCTCTGGTCAGACTCACTAATTTACTGATTCTTGTACATGACCTGTTGATTCCCATTCTAGAATGCCTTTCCCTCTTTTCTTTATATGACTCAACCTGTCCTTTTTAGACCTTATACAGGCCACACAGTTATCTTTCCTTTTTCTGAACTTAATGATTTTAAGATATTTTGAAATACCCATTTTACATTTAACCATATACTGCCTCATAATTTTTTACTCTTTTAATTATTTAATATTATACATGCCAGAGTGTATAGGACAAAGAAGAATAACAAAATGAACACCTGTGTACCCACCATCTAGTTTAGGAAATTTCTGGTAACTTTGAAGCCCTTTGTGCTCACCTCCCCTGAAGAGATGATGTTATCCTGAATTTGGATATTAATTCCCTTGATTTTTCTTTATTGCTTTATCAATCTTAATGTATTCCTAAATAGTACATTGTTTAGTTTTGTCTGTTGTTGACCTTTATGGAAAATTTTCTTCTCTGAGTTACTATTTTTCGTTTAACAGTGTTTTTGAGATTCATTCACATAGATGTATGTGTTCACTGTTGAAAGACAATCTTATGTGAAAATGTCACTAATTATTTTTTTATTCTGTTGTTGATGGAGATTTGAGGGTTTTTTTTTTTCCTATCACAAATAATCCATGTGG